ATGCTGTGAGAAAGCTTTTTTTTTTTCCTAGCGAAATAAGCTTGAGAAAATATAGAAAGGCCACAAATCATGCACAAACTAAATGAATATTAATGAGCATTTTAATTGGGGTTTTTTTTTAAGTCATGTTTGAAATCACTGGTGATACCACATTAAGCACATGCTTTATCAAACTAGATGCAATCTAGAATTATCCAAACACTTAAATATCCACTATTATCCAAAAAGAACACTTTACATTTACAAAGCACTTTACTGCTGCTGAAGCAATTTCACATACTCCATTTCATTTTATTCCTCACAACAGCCCTGTGAGGTAGGCTGTACAACTTATAATTATTTTATAAATAAGGCAATAGAGGCCCAAAGATGATAAACGATTTATGTAGAGGTCATAGGTCTAGTACATGGTAGAGCTAAGGTGATTAATTTTAAATACTGCAATAAGCCAAAATCCTTTTTATATTGTATCCAGGGATTTTTAAGACTTGTGGATTTTAATATAAATTATTTCAAAACTTTAGCTATTATCTGTCTTATAGTATGAATTAGTTATAAAGTTGATTTTAAAGAGTCTCCCTTAATAGGTAAAATAGACTCAGTGCTTTGGTACCTTAGATACATAGGAAATGTTAAAAATCATGCATTCTCATGGCCCTTATGTTCTCCAAAAAGTTCCAATACTAACAAAAATGTGTGTTACCACTTACTATTTGAATTATTTTAACACTAGCAAAACTTAATAAGCTCCAGGCCAAAGCAAACACATTCACCTGCCTTCTGCCTCACATGCTGTGAAATCCTCCACATGGCCGTTCCCATGGACCAGCTGACACTGAATGGGTACCACTAAGGAAAGGAGTCAGTTTAAACTCACTTCGCTTAAATGATGATGAATCTGAAGTCAGTATCTTATATTCACCCAGAAATTATATTCTTTTATTTAATAATTAAGTCATCTGAATAGAAAAGTGTACTCTGGCAAATTCTGGTATTTATTTATAAGTGAATACTAACTTTGATATGGCATGTCCAACAGTATCTTTTCAATGAAGACAACATACATCAAATGTAATCAATTTAAACTCCAACTAATTAAAAATGCCTAAACTGTTTAGGTTAATCAAATACTCCAGGTAACAAAGCTATTATATGTGACATATCAGGATCACAAATAACTGAAGAATGTGCATACTGTAAGATACACATAAAACTAATCTATACTGAATGTGAGGTAATCTTGCCATGATACTTCAGGAAACATTCATGATCTCTTATAATACTCCAATGCCAACATTATGAAATGTATATTTTGGTTAAAAATAAACATTATGATTATCTGCATACTGAGTAAATTTATGTTGACCATACACTTCCCTAAAAGAATATATCTAGAGTAAACACAAAATCAAAGAAGAAACTTTTTCAGACTCATTACATGTGACTATATAAAACAGAACCATTTATATGCAGTTAATTTGATTTTTTCTAGCAAACTATAAAACATTTTAAACTTCTGACTTATTAGCAAAACATTTTTAAGATGCAAACTCTGTCACACTACTCAAAAAGCTGCAAAACTATATGCACAGTACATCAAACTTCATTGGTTTTGGTTAATGTGCATACAAAGTAATCATCACATCTTTGCTGCCATATCACAAACACTCAAATATTTGTTGTATGAATTAGCCAATGAATGGAGACTGATCTTCTAAAAACAAATCACGTTTTAAAAAATAATTATTTTAAAATATAATTAATTTCTTAAGCCTGGAATCACATATTTTATAGTAAGAAGTCTACACTTTCCTCTTTAAATAAATACTCTTTGAAATAATCATTTTCCATATACTTTTCCAATTGTTTTCGTAAGAAACAATAAAATTACTTAATTATAATTTTATGGACAAAGTATATAGAGAAAAATTAATCATTCTAGTCATGAAATAGCGTATCTTAGCCTAATTAAAAGATTCCATTCCATTTACTTTTATTATTTATACCACCAAGGATCAGTCACAAAAATTCAAATTATACATATTATTCATGCTTTAATTTCATAAATAAGTAAATAACAGCAAACCAATATGTCTCTTTTCATAAAATTACTGTTTTCAGTACAGAGTAAATAGGCCAAGTCTAGCTGTACAGCAGTAGTTCACGATTTGTCAGGATGATACAGATGCCATCAATGCAATCCATATACAGACAGGCATGTCTTTAATACTTACAATTAGTTTACCTTATGCCTGGGACATTCAAATAATTGCTGTATATTAAATTTCTCTATGCATTAGTTATTAATGCTTGGTATCTACATATTTACCAAAATTTAAAGATATAATGTGACATGGTCAGCCATCAGAGTCAAAATGAATTGTCAAAAACTTTTTTCTATAGTTAAGGCAGCTCCTTCATTTCTATATCCAGTTTAATAAAACGGGTTTGGAATTCAGTTGCTAAAAGAGAAATGCCATACTAAATCCATGTTTTTATAAAACAACTGCTTTACACCTGTGATATATCCATTATAGTCAACCTCTCAAGCATTTCTTTTATAGAAAGCAATCATGTTTGACCTGTGGAAACAAAAACTAAATAAGTAACAAGGGATGTCTGAAAGGGTTTAATATTTTCTATAATGTATTAAACTGAGCAAGAGCTCAGTATTTTTAAATTCAAATGTCAATGAGAATATTATATATTATGGTTAATAGTTACCTTATTTTAAGATTATTTATATAGTCACTATATTTGATTAGTTTTTAGTTTGGAATGAGGATGACAAACTTTTTTCAGTTTAACTTAACAACAAATAAACTAAAAACATCTTAAACCAAAAAACCCCACATATCTTATTCTTTAATTTTAGAGACCTTTAAGAAGGACAGTAAGAAGAAATCCTCAGATTCTTATTTTCAAGTTAATAACTGCATAATTTAATATCAAGTAATATATGTGACAAGAATTTGGACTCTGGATTTACTGAACTTATACTATTACTACAAAGCCTCTTAGAGATGAAACCTCTCCACTGGAGAGGTTTTCCAAATGAATATTAGAAAATTTTAAGTGAAGAGTTTCAAATGACGACATGAGCACAAGAATCATGTACACTCCTCCAGCCCCTGATTCATATATGCTTTCCCCCACGCCCCTGCAGCAAAGGGCCCTCACCACTTTAACATAATGCCCTGTAGCTTAAACATCAGTTGACACTGCATGGGTCAGGGACCAAGAGTATGCTTAGAGGAAAAAGGCACTGAATTAATGAGAAGAAACAATTATATAAGACAGTAGTAAAAACTTTTTATACAAGAGCATCTGGCCTTTTCTGTACCATATTTGCTAAAATTCACTTAAAGCAACTCAACTACTAAAAATTTCTGCTTTCAGGTTTGAGTCTATGAAGGGCATTATAAATTTCCATTTACTTAGATCCTGGAATAGCCCCTCTATAGGAAACAGAACGTCTGAAAATTTCATTCAAATTCTCTATGAGGAACAAAAACCAAAATTATATTTCCTTGGAGAATCGAAAGAATATCTACTGGCATATTTCATTCTCTGCCTTGCAGTCTTTAAAATTACCAACATGTCATTAGATAATAGTGCAGATATTAATGCCCTCTGGAAAAACAATACTCTAATTCAAATAAAACTCCTCATTTACATTTGTTTTATCAAGGGAATAAAACATCCTAGCAGTAAGCAGTAAATTTTTAGAGAGAATGAGCTATTATTAATACTATGACACAGGTCTTTATGTAGAAAGCAACTCAAATGTAGGCAGTAATGGTCAATCCCTGGAGGAAGGTTATCATAGCACAATATATTTAAAATGAGAATGAAAAAAAACAACGAGAAATGAAAAGTTTCAAAAATTAAGAAAAACAAATTCAGACCTCTTAAAAATGCCCAAGGAATCATTAAATACTGTCATTTTAACTTTTAGTTTAGCTCAAAGGATGTGAGTTACAAATTACAACTGACTTTTTAAGAATAGTTATGTTCTGCTTAATAACCATGGGTTTTGCCCCAAGTCTGGGAAAGACATCTATGTCAATTTTTGAAATAATTAACATTTCTTTAAAAAGAAAATGTAGCAAAGGATGGACAGAAAAATAACCTCTGAATGAATGGTTGCTTGAAAAACCTGTGTGCCAATTAAGTCAAAGATATGCAGATTTTTTTTCAAAACAATTGCTTAAAGCATTCCACATGTTATTCAAAAGAATATATACATTGAGTATTTAGGTACCTCATTTTATAACCTATCCTTCTTAGATAAAAATTGAGTAGTATGTTTTTCAATCCTCTATGTAACTTTAATAAACTTTCATTGCTATTAGAGATGTTAAAAATCAGCATAATTATTACCAGTTAGTGCCACATTCAAGTGGGAATTTTACCAAACTACTAAAGGTAAGATTAAACTGTTGTGTCTAGAAACTTCTTATCACAGTATTTTGGAAAAAAGAAAATGATATACAATCTACTAAATAAACAAAAGAGGATTCTTTTGTAAAACTTATTTTAAAAAGAGGAAAAATAAACCATTTGAAAACCTTTTTATCATTCCCAACATATGATTTTAATTTTTATAAAACCTTAGAGGACTATGTATTTTTAAAGCTTCTGTGTAAGAACTAAATAATAAGTAGTAACAGGGTTTTAAAAAAAGACAAAGTGGGCCGGGCGCGGTGGCTCAAGCCTGTAATCCCAGCACTTTGGGAGGCCAGGGCGGGTGGATCACAAGGTCAAGAGATCGAGACCATCCTGGTCAACATGGTGAAACCCCGTCTCTACTTAAATACAAAAAATTAGCTGGGCATGGTGGCACGTGCTTGTAATCCCACTTACTCAGGAGGCTGAGGCAGGAGAATTGCCTGAACCCAGGAGGCGGAGGTTGCGGTGAGCCGAGATCGCGCCATTGCACTCCAGCCTGGGTAACAAGAGCGAAACTCCATCTCAAAAAAAAAAAAAAAAAGACAAAGTACAGAAGAAAGAAGGCATGACGTAAAAGCTTTTCTCCCCAGGACTTAGGGTTGCCATATGTAATTAAACATATTAGAACAGTCAAAGTAATCCAAGAAATATAAAAATGACTTTTTATGGTAATTAAACACTGCCCTTCCCTCCATTTACTCTTCAATCCTCAGCTTCTTGCTTGGTATCTGCTTGCTTCTATGATACTGCACAGCAGGTTCCTGCAAATGCTTCATACTTGGTGTTTAATGATAACAAATTCCAGGCCTCAAAGCAGAACACAGCAAACCTGATTTTCACTACTCACAAATTCCTGTGATTAGTAACTGCACAGAAAAGGCCACCCAATCAAGTGGGAGGGTAAACGTATTCTGATTAGACATTACTGAGTAACAACATTGTTCAGGCTGCTAGCTGAACCAGTCATTCCATTTTCACTTTTCTGAAGTGTTCTCACAGCACTTGGAACCTGCATCCCAGTACTCAAAGAAAGTCCACCACACCATACCTAAGAAAAGACAAAAAACCTGTCAGATTTCAAATCAAATTAGAACTTTAGTGATTTTAAAATTTCCATTTGTGGCAAAATGCCACACATATGAGCATCAATCATTCTCAAACAGGTAACCATCATATTTGAGCTGAGGGGAAATGGAAAGACTAACTCAGAATTATTTAAGAACCACAGAGGCAGAGGAAGTCTTGCTGGTAGCTGAACCAACTGAAGCTGCACCCAAGAAAGGAACTCAGGGCTACAGAAATTGAGAAACTTAATTGGATTAATCTAGGGAAAAGATATTACCTATCATTACTGATGCCAACCTTCACAACCAAGGGAAGCATACAAAGCACCAACTTACTTCCCAATTATGCTTTTGGTTTTGATAATTAGATATGGCCTGAGACTATAAAAATCTAACACCCCTCTGTTAACAGTAAAATCTACTGTTTTCTTCCCTACCTTGTTAACAACAAGAACTCTTTTATAATTCTTTAAGAGGAACTCCTGACAAAAATGCAAATCACAATATCGAGATGTACTTCCCATGTTCTATTACGCATCAAAAATGTGAATGACTTTGTGAAAGATAAAACTGCTTTGCTTGTAAACAGAGCAGCAATGATTCAATGAAGTGAGAAATAAGATTTGGGACACAGTCAAAAGAATTAAAATATGAAAATATGGATCACTGACACTACATCAACTACCCTGTATGTATTAATAGCAGACACAAGCTTAAAGGGCAATGTTTTTTTAACGTATCCTCACCTTCAATTATATCCTTAAGTGTTCGATATTACTAAGTAACTAGATTATTGTACCCAAGAATCTACTGAACTGTGAAATTCATAGCTATATAATCAACATTCTAAATTTTCAAAACTAGCAGGCTCAGTAATGATAACTCCCAAATACAAAAGCAACTTTCTGATTGTAAAACTACTACATTATTTTTTGGAAATTATTTAAATGGTTTAGAAAAATATTTACTCAAAATCTAGCATGATCAATGCAAAAAGAAATCAATGGAAGAAAGTCAGTCTTTTCAATAAATGGTACTGAAACAATTGGATAGACACACAAAAATGAACTTCAAGCCATACTTTATACCTTACACAAAAATTAACTCAAAATAATCATGAACCTGAATGTAAAACCTACGACTGTCAAACTTCGAGAAGAAAATATAAACCCTTTGTGACTCTGAGTTGGGCTAAGTGCTACCCATAAAAGGGAAAAAAGATTACTAAATTGGACTTCATATCGAAATGAAAAACTTTTTGAAACATTCAGAATATGAAAATGCAAACCATAAACCAAGAGAAAATATTTGCAAAGCATATATCTGATAAAGGATTCACATCCAAACTGTATAAATCTCTTAAAAATAGGAAAACAAGGCCAGGTACAGTGCCTCATGCCTGTAATCTGAGTACTTTGCGGTGCCAAGGCTGGCGGATCATTTGAGTCCAGGACTCTTAGACCAGCCTGGGCAACATGGCAAAACTCCAGCTGTACCAAAAAAAAAAAAACAAACCTTTTAAATAGCTGGTGTAGTCCCAACTATTCAGGAGGCTGAGGTGGGAGGAACACCTGAGCCCAGGCAGTTGTGGCTGCAGTGGGCTATGATTGCACCACTGTACTCTAGCCTGGGTTACAGAGCGAGACCCTGTCTTAAAAATAAAGTAGAATAAAAAATAAGAAAACAAATAAGTCCTAAAAAGTAAGCGAAGAATTTTAACCGCAACTTCAAAGAAATTATATGAATGGCAAATAAGCACATGAAACATCATTTGTCATTAGGAAAGTACAAATAAAAACACAATGAAATACCACTACACACCTATTAAAATGGCTTACCAACAACAAAGAATCTGTTAATACCAAATAATAGCAAGGATATGACCAACTCTCATATCATTGATAGGAAGGCAAAAAATGGTACAGCCACTTTGGAAAACATTTTGGTAGTTCCCTATGACATTCAACATATACTTTCAATGTGATACAGCAACCCTATTACTACTGTTAGGTATTTATCCAAGGAAAAATCCCATATGTAAACGTTTATAGTGATTTTATTCATAACTGCTCCAAACTGGGAAAAACCCAAGTGTCTTTCAACTGGTGAATGAATGAATTGTGTTACATACATATATGAAATACTCAGCAATGAAAAAGAGAATAGTGACACCACAACAAAATGGATGAATTTTGAATGCATTATGCTACAGAGTTGAAAAGCTACATACCATACAATTCTATTTATATGATGTTCTGGAAAAGGCAAAACTATAGGGACTATGAACTGGTTACTGATAGCTAGAGCTCGTTGTGTGGAGGGTCCACTATAAAGGAACACAAAGGAATTTTCTAGGGTGATGGAAATGTGCTGTATCTTCATTATGGTGGTTTTACAATTTTAGGCATTTGCTAAAAAACACAGAATTGCATCATACTATAAATTATAATTCAGTAAAACTGACTTAAAATTAATCTTGTACACAAAGCATTTAACAAGCATTAACGTAATCAAAAAAGCCTTCAATGAAAGCAAAAATTTTTTAACAAGTTTAAAATAACTTCTTGCAGAATCTTACGACATTTACTAATATAATTAGAGTATTATTTGGAATGAAAAACAAAAACTCAGTACATACACACGAGATAGCTTCAAATTAAAAATTAAACCTACTTTTTGTAAAAGTACATCTAAGACTTGGAAAACATTTTTCTGCATTCCACATGGTAAACAATTTGTCCTTGATGGAAAAGTATCCAAAAATGCATAATATAGCAGAGGCTTATACAAAGTCAAAAAAAAAAGAAAAAGAAAAAGAAAAAAGAAACAACCCTTCCAGTATCTTTATGTTTCCATAAGCAATAATTTTAGTCACTAATCACTTAACTTTAATGTAAAAGTAAAAGTAGATGTCCTGGTTATTAGTATTGTTTTAAACTTAAGAGTTTAATGTATCTAGAATAAATAATTATTATGGATAATGAGATTTTAAAGCACTGTATTTTAAACCCACTCAAACTCTGAAAACTTTCTCCTCATAGTTGAGAAATTACAATTAGGGATGATGATACAAGAACACACATGCAAAATATTGTAAGTTTGCATTTAAAATACACCATCTTGGTTTACAGAGGTAGCCTCCAAATTTAAGAAAAGTTCTAGCCAAAGTAACAGAAACTTTAACTGGATCCCAGAACTCCCCACAGGAGCCTAACCTATAAAGAAATGCAGAGGGCTACCAGTTGGAAAAAAACAGTAACATTTGCTTAAAAAATTAAATTCAAAGCCATGTTTCATTTTGTGCAGAGAAACATGATTTTTTTTTATCAGCCTGAAATTTAGTAGACCTGCAATCACATAGGATGTAATTACTGTGTGGTGTGCATACATATATTCAGCATAGCACACTAAGACAGTCATCTAATATTGTACAAAGATGACAATGCACTATGATCTTGTCAATATGGAATTCCATAGGGAATTCAAGAATGTACCTAGATCCTTACTTCATACCAAACACATCAATTCTACATTGTACTTGCATTGTAAATGCAGTCTATATCTAAATATGCAACATGTACCTTTTAGAAGACAAGAATATTTTCATGACCTTGGGAGTGCATACTGATTTCTTAAACAGAATGCAAAAAGTGCTAGCTGTAAATGAAAAAATTGATAAACTCAACAAAATTAACTTTTTTTTATCAAACAATACCAACAAGGGAAAAGAAAAGCCAGAGTGAAGAAGATCCTACAAATTAATCCATAATAGGAAGACAACCTAATAGAAATGCAAGCAAAAGATCTGAATAGCCAGTTCACAAAAAAAATACCCAAATAGTCAACAAACATGTAAAAAGGTGCTCAACAGTGCTAATACCCAAGGAAATGCAAATAATATATTAGCCACTAGAAGGACAAAAATTTTTTGTAAAGGTATTACCAAGTGTTGACAAGGATTTGAAGAAACTCAAATTTTCACATACTGCTAGTTGTAAATTAGCATAACCAACCACTCTGGGAAACTGGTAGTACTATTACAGTTGATTACACACGTACCATACATCTAGCAACCCCAATCATAGGTGTATACTTAATGGAAATATACACATACATTTATCAAAAGACTGAACAAAAATATTCACAGCAGTTCTATTTGTTTAAAATCACAAATGGAAACCACCCACATACACAACTAAATTAGAATGTATAAACTGTGATACAGTCACAGAACAGGAAACTATACGGCTATAGTTCATGAGAATGAATGAACTAAATAACCACATAGAATATGGATAAATCCCACAAACAATGTTGAGTCAAAAAGATACTGTATGATTCTATTTATATAAAACTGAAAATGAAGTAAAGTAAATTTGTTTGTTTTTTCTTTTTTTTTGAGCCAGAGTCTCACTCTGTCACCAGGCTGGAGTGCAATGGCATGATGTCGGCTCACTGCAACCTCCACCTCCTGGGTTCAAGCGATTCTCCTGCCTCAGCCTCCTGAGTAGCTGGGATTACAGGCACACACCACTACACCCAGCTAATTTTTGTATTTTCAGTAGAGACAGGGTTTTATCATGTTGGCTAGGATGATCTCGATCTCCTGACGTTGTGATCTACCCACCTTGGCCTCCCCAAATGCTAGGATTACAGGCATAAGCCACTGCACCTGGCCAAATTTGGGGTATTAAAAGTCAGTACAGTGTTAACGCTGGAGAAGGGCCATCAGGGACTGGAAATGGACAGTAGAGAGGGCCTCTGACGTACTCGTAATGTTCTAGGTGCTGGTTACATACTGGAGTGCAACCCTACAAAAACTCACCAAACTACATATTTATGATTTGTGTACTTCATGTATTAACTTCAATAAAATATACCAAAAATATATGAAAATCACAGATTTGGGAGGGGTGAATTGGGGAAAGGGAGAAGAATATGAAGGAAAAATAAAATATTCTTTTCCAAATACATGGTATAGAATATTCTCCTTACAGTTGCCAAACCAAGTACATTAGGTATATATAAAATATAAAACATACTAACCATGAAACCAGGTAGTAGTGGCTGAGTAAATTTTGTCTTAAAGGAATATAGCAACTGTTTCGAGTTTGCATCATAGAATGAAAGTTGACCTAAAAAAGAAAGAAAAAAAGCCTAATTAAACAAAAAATTGTAACATTTAATTCTAATGTATAATCATGTAAAAAAGTAATAATATATAAGTTGGCATTAATTTCTGTTATAAACTATGAGAACTGGATTAATTATTCTCACATGAAAATCAGAAGGACACATGCTTAAGTTTTCAAAGCCCAATCCAATTTTCTTCCCCTGGTTTTCAAGACCTCCATAATATCTCTATAATCTGGTACTATTCTACTTATTTAATGCAAACTATTTCTTTATCATTATTTAACAATGGCTTCATAAGTCCAGTATAAACCAAGACCATTTTTTCCTCCTTATTTTTTCTATAACCATCCTCTCACCCAAATGCTAATCACCAATTAAAGTTTACTCTAGTAAACCTTGTCTTCTACCTACCTGAAGCCATACTCACACTCTAGTCTCTGAAATCACAGTATAATTATCATTGCTTCAATTCTGTTAATTTTTTTTTTCAATAGAGGCAGGGTATTGCTATTTTGTATAAGCTGGTCTTGAACTCCTGAGCTTAAGCAATCCTCTCTCTACCTCAGACTCCCAAAGTGGTAGGATTACAAGCATGAACCACCATGCTTGACCTGCTTTGCTAATTTTTAAAATCACCTCACAGTATATCTTTCAATAGGATCATGCCCTAAAAAAAAGCTGTCTGACCTCTTAAACTGTCCAACCTAATGGCATCCTTACAACTGTTATCACTTCTTAAAACTCTTCTCTGATGACCACTCTCTTGGTTTGTATCATAACTCTGGGGGTAACTTCACAATCTCCTCCTTTTCTTCCTATTCTAAATGTAGCTGCTTGGTCCACACTCTTTTTTCTTTATATAATGCTTCCTTAATAAATCAACTGCCACCAAAGAGGAAGATAAAATAAACTAGTATGTATGCACAATATTATGTAGGTTGCTTAGTATTTTGAGGTAACGTACGCAAAGTACTCAGTACTCTGATCACAAAGTTAGTAAATAGCAGAACAGTAATGCTTAAATATATTGTTCTGTATAATCTTCAATAGCAATTCTGTAATATTGTCTCAAATATTTACCATCAGCTCTACTTAACTGCCGAGTTCTGGCACTGAATTTCAAAATGCTTGCTAAACATGCCATATGGTTATCCTGCTGGCATTTCATTTCCCCAAAAAACTTTATGCTCTCTATTCTGTTGACACTGTAATCCTCTTGATCACACTGGCTGGAACCTCAAAGTCATTTTCAACTTGTCTCTCCTCAGCTGATCCATATTTAGTTACAAAATCCTATGAATTCTACTTCCACACTGTCAAATCCACTCTTAATTCTCCACTGCTCAGATCCTTGTTGCCAGTTACTCAGCAAACACTTATTAAGGGCTTCCTATGTGAAAAGCACTTGCCAGCCAATAAGGACTTAATAGCTAACAAAAGAGATACAGTCCTGCTCTACACTGTTTGAAGACTGCTTCCTGAAAAGTCTTATGCTCTCTATGCTTTCAATCTCTTCCAGCTTAAGCCATGGACTTTAATATTTCTAAAACTAGATTATTTTATGACTATAGTGTTCTAAAACATGCAGAACCACCCCTCCCCAATACTAAGGACCACTCCATTATTATTTTTCAAGGCTCTCAGAATCTGATCCTATTCCACAATACAACTTCCCCTTGCCATATGTTATGCTCTAGGCTAAAAACTGTATCTCACTACTACCTTTGTGGACTCACATAGCATGGGAAAAGAAAGAAAATAAGCAAATGTTGTCTTGGTAGTTGAAAAAGAAAAAGAAAATGTGTGCTAATAAATTTGCCATTTATCCTGAGGAAAATGATTTATCTGATTCAAAGTAGGTTACAAAACAACACAGCAAAACTAACATGTCATCACTAAAAAACTACTTTTTCGAGTAAATTAATTGATAGCTCATGGAATTATTTGGGCACAATATTACTAAAATAACAAAATTTAGTATTATTAGGTTAAGTGTCAACTTGGAGATAAAACATCTAGGGGATTACTTTAGTTCAATATGATGTCATCTTCAAATTTATTATACATTAGATGACTGTAGAGAACATGCTTAAGAAATAACTAATTCAGTGGGATTTAAACTTTTCTCGAAACATAAATATCAAGTTAATTTTCAGATGATTTTAACAGGAGGGGAAACGTGGCCAAATCTATTAAAATGAAACTAAAAAAGGTAAATGTAATAGCCATCATTTACGTTATACATAATATTGAGTTATTTTTAAAAACTCTAAACTAGCCGAACGTGGTGGCTGATGCCAGTAATCCCAGCACTTTGGGAGGCTGAGGCAGGTGGATCACTTGAGGTCAGAAGTTCAAGACCAACCTAGCCAACATGGTGAAACCCTGTCTCTACTTAAAATACAAAGATTAGCAAGGCATGGCGGTGCATGCCTGTAATCCCAGCTACTCAGGAGGCTGAGGCCAGAGAATTGCTTGAACCTGGGAGGTGGAGGTTACAGTAAGCTGAGATGGTGCCACTACACTCCAGCCTGGGCAACAGAGCAAGACTCCATCTAAAAAAAAAAAACCCAAAACTCTAAACTGACTAATAAAAGAAGAAAAATAATTTAACATAATGCCATGAAAAAAGATCTAGTGGACTAGGGTAACTACAAGCTCAATACTGGTCAGCAGTGCTAAGTCATATTATTAGAAGTAGCACAGCCAAATTACTGCCCTTTGCTGGTCAGAGGTCATGTATTCCACTCTAATAACCAACCTTTAAGAAAAACACTGACATACAAGACAGGCATAGGAGATGATAAAGACTTGGAAAAATTAAATTTTAACAGGAGCAGCTAATAACAGAGAATATATGGTCTGGAAAAACAAGGCAAGAAAAGCAATGTTAGTATACCCGTAGTTTTTAATAAACAAGGATTATCATGCAAATATTAATGAGGAAATACAATTCTGTGTTTATTCAGATGGCAAAATTTAAGAGCAACAGTCTCCAGAGTTATAGGGGACAAAACGAGTCAACTTAAGAAAAATATTCTAACCAAGAGCTGTCCAACAATGAAATAGCCTGCTTTCTAACACAGTAAACTTCACATTAAAAGTTCTTCAAGGGGGAGTGGGGAGGGATAACATGAGGAGAAATGACAGATATAGATGAAAGGGGAAGAGAGGCAGAATGTTCTAAACTATTATTAAAACCACCTGGTTATGTATGCACCTATGCAACAACCCTGCATGACCTGCACATGTACCCCAGAACCTAAAGTAAAATAAAAAAAAATTTTTTAAAAAGCTATTCAAGCACAGGAGTGCCAACTACCTGCAAAGATAATGTAACAATGATTTTATGCTGTGTGTCAGATGGAGTAACTTCTTTTCTTTTCTTTTTTGGATTAGACCACAATGTGTTAATAGTTCTGTAATAAATTCTGATATTAGGGGAAAACCCCTTTGGCCCTTATAAAAAAGATATCATGAGTCATTCTGAAGAACATCTTTAAAGACAGCATCTTGAAAATTAAGAACATTCCATTCATATCAAGTTTGATGGGATTTGGCACAATAAAATTTGCTGTATAGCTTATATTTACTATGATAGTAGAAAATATGGCTCTCATATCTTCTTGAATTTTAAAAAAATTTTCATAGGCACACAGTAGTACATAAAATGTTTTCATATAGGCATGCAATGTGTAATAAACACATCATGTAAAATGGGGTATTCATCCTGGGTTGGGTAATTTCTAAGGTCTACTTCAACTAGAAAATTCCGACTACCACTCTTTGGAGGTAGGTAATAAAATGGTAAGGAAGGAATTAAAATGGACAGAAGGAATGTTAGTGCTGAAGACTAAAATTAGCAAAATCTTTCAGGTTTAGTATATTATAAATGAGTGCTTTTGTGGGGCTCCAGGCAGACATCACATATACCATTCTAGTCAATTCTAGAACTGTGATTATGATTGTGATCAAAAGTCTACTTGATCAAAATGTCCTTACCACAATACAAATGGAAATCCTGTATAGATGCTTACCAGTGAAAGGTACTGAAATTCAAGCAACTATGATGAAATAACGTATGAAAAAATAAACTTACCCCCATCAAAATCACAAAATACACCTATTTTTTCAGGAACGGTAACATCCAAAGCTTTGACTTTATTATTATGCTTTGCTGCAAATGTGTTTTGTAGCCAGTTGTTGACATGGATACACCAACTAGTGTTTGTCTTTCCCAACTGGTCAAATTTCCCCAACGTTTTGTATGCTACTCCTACACTGTAGGATTTACAATCCTTCTGGGCCTTGACTTCCCAATAATGTTGTCCACTTTCAATAGCAGTGTCTCCTACAAAAGATCAGAAAGGTAGATTTGACTCTTATCTCTTCGTTATGAGTCACATAGTTTTACCTATCACTCTTCCCAAGAAAAGACACAAAAATTTTATTCAAGTACTTTTTCTATAAGAATAATCATGTTAACACACAGACACTAAATGCAAAGTGCTTGCTATAATTTTACCTTTATGTTTAGTGCTATTCTTCTGAATATAAAATGCTTCTGAGGTTTTCTTCCTTACTATCTCCCCTCCAGGTTTATGTGTATAAATATGTGGGAACACTATTTAAGCTAAAGTAGAGTTTTAAAAGTATCAATATTAGTAAGACACTCTGAAAACTCCCCAAAGTAATTAGGCTTCAATTGAGAAAAACTTCTTGCAAAGATTTATTCAATATACAGGCAGTCACTTTAAGTGGAAAGTCCACCAGTGTGATTTTGATGCCTTTAATCTGAGATAATAAAGAACAATTATGTTTTATCCTACCCAGCACTGTGTATGATTCTCCAGTAAAACGATCTCTACTGCCTCTTACTGCTGGTGGCCTGGAGCCTACAGATGTTCGTTTTGGGGATGGTGTACCACTTCTAGATAAGCAAGAAGAAAAAAGAAAAACAAATATTTTATATTGTAAATGTTTCATAAACTAAAATTACAATTCATGGAAGAAACCTCTGAAAAGATTTCTAATTATGCTATAGAAATAACAACATTCAATTTAATCTAAACTATTATTAAAGAGCACTGTCAATTATAAACACTGAAATGTAAGAAGCTATCAATACAGAGCAGGCTGAAGACACTAATGGCATGCAGACTGAGCAAGGCTTATATAAAGAACACACAGCTGAAATAAGAAAGGATGCGACAAGACTTACTAAACAAAACAAAAAGAATTCAAGAAAGATAATGAGTTACAGCTTTTTTTTGCAATTAAACTTAAAGCAAAGATAGGTTTCTTCTTATAATCGTAACTAAATAACCCTTTTTATAAACAGTGAGTATTTTTGCTCTGAATCTTACCTTCTTAAAAATAGAAATGGTGGCCAGGCACGGTGGCTCACACCTGTAATCCCAGCACTTTGGAGGCCAAGGCAAGTGGATCACCTGAGGTCGGAAGTTCAAGACCAGCCTGACCAACATGGAGAAACCCCATCTCTACTAAAAATACAAAATTAACTGGGCATGGTGGCACATGCCTGTAATCCCAGCTACTCATGTGGCTGAGGCAGGAGAATCACTTGAACCCGAGAAGCAGAGGTTGTGGTGAGCCAAGACTGCACCATTGCACTCCAGCATGGGCAACAAGAGCGGAAACTCCGTCTCAAAAAAAAAAAAAAAAGAAAGAAAGAAAGAAAGAAAGAAATGGCAATTGTCCAAATCCATGTACAGGATAACATCAAGTATTATAAAGCATTTCTCCTACTAGAATAGACAAGATCCACCTTGACTTCCTCTTATATCAAATTATATGATATATGGAAAACTTGAGAATATTGGGATCTTTACTAACTTTCAAAAACTCAAAATAGATTAAGTCCCAAAGATGTTTTCAAAATAACTTTTTAATTATATTGCATTACTGCATTTAAAAAAGATTTTTTGGTTAAGATTATCCTAAAGTTATTATTTAGAGAAAATGGGATAACTATATTCTCACCACTAATTAGCAATAAAAATATTTTTTTCCAACATAGCACTGGAAGTTTTCTTCCTAAGAAAAGATCAGTTTAGAAGATTTTAATATAAGCTATCAATACTAGAATAGAAATGCCTGACAAAGGCAAAACAAGAATACAGATAAAATTTAAAGTCATTTCATATGATTCATTTCATATAATTCAGTGACTTCATTCTGCATTATTTAAATGTCTTGCTATCAGCAGATTTATTAGACAATTTCAAAGAACTCAGGACCACTTCAACTGTCTTTTTAGTGAATAATATTAAGTAGCAAAAGTATAGGTCTAGAACTATAACATTAACATGACTTAGTTTATTTCTTCCCAAAGGATTTCAAAGGTCCTTTTTGTAAAGGTATTTATTTAAAAATACACTTAAAAAGTGACATAGGTTCTATTTGAACAGACAGCATGAACAAAGGTGAATGTGGACAGATAGATTAAAAATTCTGTGAAACTTATACTAAGGAAGAAAGTAGTTTCTTGCCATTGGGTAGGGGGACAGCAAAACAGAATGTGAGGGGGGGAAAATTCCAGAATAGTTGTTGAAGTCTTCTCCAAAATAAAGGATAGAAACAAATAAAAATTACTAAACATTTATACTCTTTATCCTGAATAACAAAAATATAAGTTTTCACTTCTTCAAGGTTTGGAATGGCCACGTTTTCTAAGCGGATACTTATACAATACTTGCAAGAGTCATTAGTAAGAAAGTAAAACTGCAAATATTGTCAACTGATAATTCAGGAAAAAAGAACTACATCATAATTTTCTTTCTGATTCATTTTATACAAGCTGATAGAGAATGTTAACAGCCTGATTACAAAAGGTCTATGTGTTTTCAAAAGTTTTATCTTAAGCTCAGGAGAAAATATAACATTGCATTTGCCCCAAAGTTAAAAAAAAAAAAAAAAAGTACATGTAACTCTATATTCATGATCTTGCAGGGGGGCAAACAATCTTGAAATCAGCAATTTTAAACCATTTCCTGAACTCAAGGGAATCCACAGATGCCACATAGGTACTATGGGAAGAAGCCAGCTTTAGGGCTTCTTCCCTTTTTTAACCAGCTATACTTTTCCCTTTTTAGACTAGGCTTCTGAAAGTACTTCATTAAAGAAACCACACTGTTGTTTTTTTTTTAAAAAGTGTCAAAAACAATATTTTAGATGCAACATTGAAGGAAGACAGGAAAAGAAAGAAGGTAAAAGTAAAATTGTTTCAACATGGTATATAAATTATAACAAAAAAGCTTTTAGGTCTCCAAAACACTTATGTAATAAAAGAACTCTGTGGATTGAGGTTATCTGAAATGAAAGTACATTCTCCCTTAGGAAAAAAATGGGTGCAGAGCTCACCAAAGATTACCCAATTCATCAAGTTACCAATTCATAAATTGACTGCATATCAATCTTCCTCCACCCAAGTTATTCAATAGCAAATATTGGTAATTATACAAAAATGAACCCACTTTTAGTTAATAAAAATGTCAGTATTTGTGAAAAATTACTTTTGTAACTAGAGAGGAAGATGGGATACAATAAGCTCAGAACACTAGCTCTTCATTATAACTAACTTGACTTCTAAGCCCAGTGCTTTCTAGTAGTATTGCTAGTATTCTCCTTACTACTAACAGTCATGACTATGGTTGCTATTCAGCTGAGAAACAGAGCAAAGAAAGTCAACATGATTTTATTTTGGGTAACTAGGTGAGAATCAAATGAAAGGAGATGAGAGGTTAAAGTAAATGTGTAATCAGGAGTGAGAAGGAATTCAATGAGCCAAACCAGTGGTTTTCCTACATAGCTGCACGTCAGAACCACTTGGGAAACATTAAAAAATGCAAATTACCAGGACTTACCATAAACTACTAAATCAGACACTGGAGGGTAGGCTTGAGAAACCCATGTGTTTTTAAAATAAGAATTTCAAGACTTTGCTGTTCAGCTGGGCTAGGAGCCACTGAGGTAAAACAAAGCAAAACTCTCCTATCAAGGAGCAAGGATTAAAAGGGTGATGAAAAGACAGGTTTTACACAATCTATCATATGACACCCTTAGTCCTTGTTTGCTATGGCAAGTGAGGAACTTGGCTATGGAGTAGCTGAGGGAAGGGAAATAACTGTTGCTAGGAACCACATCTCATCTCTGCATCCTCAGTACACAGTAGGTGTACAATATCTGACTAGAAGGAGCTCATCTGAGTAAACAGATAGTAAATTTGTGATGTTACCAATTAAGGACCATCTGTATCTTCCTGAGTAAATATGTGATATTGTCAATTAAGGACCATCTGTAGCTTCCTGAGTCAAAGTACTAAATTGGAAAAACAAAGGCCTTTGGCATTTTGTAATAAATGATTGTCAATTGAAAAGGCACAATAGAATTAGAGACAATCAGGAAACTTTTTCAAAATACACTGATGTTCACCTCCTCAACTGGTGGGTCAGAGGGTCTGCTGAGAGAAAACATGCATTCTGAAAAATATTTCCCAAGTAACTGAGGGCAACAAATAGAAAGTGAACGTCATATAAATAAATAGAAAAATTTCACTTAGAACTGCTTCAAAATGTCTTAAGAGCTATTTTGATAACCAGAAAAACAATTTTAAAAAATTTATAACTTACCAGTAGTAAAGAAATAATGGGAAGCATGGAGAAGAGAAAAACAGACATAACTAACTATTGACATTGGCAGTTTAATTTCAGAGTAAAGTTAAATAAGGAGAACTCTTCCATTGCTGCATTCCAGGCTTCCAATCCTAAGTCACTTTTGCAAGAAACAACTTACAATAAGTTTTACGTCAAGCATGATAACCTCCCATCCCCTCCCTCACCCAGGGTTAAGAACACTCTGGCTATTTAACTACCTGAATTTAAGTAAGGCTCCTTAGCTATCTCTCGTCTGCACGGTTTTACCAGCTTCTCAAATAATCTCTTTGCTATCCAATTCATCTTGTTCATTATTACAAGATAAAGCTAGCTCTGATTCCTCTAAAAATCTTCACGTACTTCTATACTGCTTACAAGTAATGACTTAGCACAGCATTCTGGTTCTTGATTTAGTCCCAATCTGCCTTTCTAGACTTTTCACCCCTAGAGAGCACTACACAGCTAAATAAACCAGCCAAAATGTTTAAACTCACACCATCTGCTTCAGTGCCTTTCCTCTGGCTGTTCCCCCTTTCACTGCAAGTCCAACCACCACACATTTTTCCACTTGCTCAAGAACTAGCCTAAATATGATTTCTTTAATGAAAGTCCCCCAAATCCTACCAGGCTAAATAACCAGTCTGAGCAGTCCAGCTCCAGGACCAAATTCTATGTGTGATCTTTCAGGCCCAAGCATAGGAAGGTGTTGGTGAGGCAGGGTGGGGGCACAGGGTAGGGTGAGCTGCCCTCCTAACACCAGACTTGGTGCTCAGCTAGTGCACTGTACTTTCTAAAGAGTTGCAATTCCACACTTCTCCCCACCACAATCATACACCATATCTGCATTCCTAGCCAAGGCATCTCTATTCAGAGGTCCCCTTATCAGAGGGAGGACATAGGCCAAGATACTTTTCAGGTGCCTTTGTGTAAAACTCCTTTAGGGCAGAGGCCGGGGGACGAGTGATAGTCTAAAAACATTCTTCTACACTCCGTTTTAGTATTTTCCCATTTTAGCCCCTCACTTCCCACCTTCTTGGTTCTCAGGTCCATAAACTGGCAGGAGCCTTTTGTTCGGGGCTTGCTGGCATTGAGAAGATCCACTAATTGTTATCTGTGTTGATTTACGTGACCTTCACCCAGGGCCATTCTGTCGGGAAAAACTGAACACTGGGGAAGTGAGTACCCTTCCCTTTGTGGCCTCTTGCGTATACTATCACAGCACATCAATAAAGCCTTGATGATTAGTTAGGCTCACTATCCTACCTGACCACCTAACACCTGGCAGCTCTTTCTTCCTCTGAACACCTTTATTCACACTTAGCATTGCGCATATATCTACCTTGCATTATTGCTACTTTTACATACATCTCATCTACATAAATTAGGGCAAATTTCTTGAAAGAAGAGACAGTGTTTAATCCCTATAAATCCTGTAACATCCAGCAGATATCCTATGGTGAGCAAATATTTATGGAAAGAATATATAAATGCGTGTAACATTTGACAAGTAGCTTATATATAAAATACTCTTAAAAAGTAGGGAGGGAGAAGGAAATGACATAACCTTAAATCATAAATATGCAATCTAAAAATTTCCAAGTGACCAAACAAAATTCCATAGACTATTAAATCCAGCATTTTCCAATTTATAATACACCATAAAATCGCTTTTACCAATAATGAGTAAATCAACTGAAAAGAAGAAGAAGCTAATTTTGAGAAGAGAACACATTCTGGTTTCTGGTAAAGATTATGTAGTATCTTCAAAATAAGCACATTATTACTCATGCAAATTGAAACAATTTATCTTTCTGGCACTGTCTTTAGCAATGACCTTTATTTTTTGTTCTTGTTCTTTTGAAGCTGCCTCATCACTATAAAATAGAGAACTATTCAAACCTGCCGTGTGTCAAATAAAAGCAAAGCGATAATGTTAAACTAATGAATATTATTCAGTACAACAAGAAAGATGCCAGGTACGAGTAAAAGCAGAAAAAAATCAGATAAGGGAAATAAATTCAAGAAAGACTTTAAAGCAGAGCTTATTTTGTTACCACATACAATATAATCCAAATAATATGCAGCACACTACAATGTAAATTCAAAACGTAAGCTACCAATACAGTCTACGCAGAGCAGTGTTTTAGCTTATGAATGCTGCCGCAATGGCTTCTGCATAGTGGTTAAAAGAAAAAATCAAAGTTGTTTTAAATCAGCCAAGCTAGATTATACTAAATCCTAGAACTAGACAGACATAGATCATCACCTTGTATGTTTCTTCAGTGAAGTAACATGGACACTGTCAGATAAAAACAGGCAACTGTTAAGAAACTGTTTTATAACTTTAACAGCTTATAACAAAATCAGATTAAAGGCCTGGTGAGGAATTTTTTGGGGTTCATTGTTGTAACTCACATGGGATTTATCTTCAATTTGACCAAAAATTTCTTCTACTAAAAAAGAAAGAGGCTCCCAAGCTTTGATTTTATTTAAATAAGTTAGTTATGACAATAACAAAAGGTCCTTGAGCTTGCCTCTTAGGTTCATTGTGCTGCTGATGAGAGGTTAAGACCCTAAAGCTGTACCTGCTAAACGCTGTCACTTAGTGCAAACCAGACCTGCAGGTAAGATAGGTGATCTGTAAGTCTAAAATTCAGGAATTATACCAGAAACAACTTCTAAAGCAAGTCAAGTTGCTGCACATGTAACTTTAAAAAATTGGAATACTGAAATGAAAATGCGTAAGAGGATTAGGAATGAAAATAAAAAAGTAATAAAAACGTTAATGACATTCAACTATTGACAAATAGTATTATATTCTTCACTTTGGTGCTACTAATATACCATAAATCTCATAGGTATATTGACTAAGAATTTCAATTAAGTTACTGTTACGTAAGAACCAGTATGCAAGCATTTGTTCATACGACAGATTTAATGCCCTAGCTTACCTGCCCTTGTTCTCTTTTCCTTTAATTTTACTTTCTTGGCCTTTTCCTCCAGTAGGATCCCACTCTACACAGGTATCTTCAACTTTCAAGTTCAAATGGGATGAAGAGTTATCCAAATTGAAGTTAAGTGCTATTTAAGACAATATTTCAATATATTTTTAAAATATAGCATATCTCCACTTTCTGAAACACAGCTATCACCACAATATATTCCTACTCAATTCAATACTGAATACAGAAAATAAAGTTCAAATTCATATCTTAGCTCTTAAAGTTCTCAACAATTAGGCTATAATTTATACTTCTTATCTGCTTTTCCATTATTCTTCTCAATATATCCTACACTCCAACCAAATACAATGTACTTGCACGGCTACTGGCATTTCTGCTGTTCATTCTACTAAAAGCTCAATGAGTACACAGTAACCTCCATTTCCTTTTATTAGTATATCAGTTGACTGTTGTAACTAAATAGGAAGGGGACCTGGAAGAATTAAGGAAAAGGATAAAGCTACACAGTGTAAAAAATTACAGAACCTGGCATGCACATTTTCTCTGATGTTCTAGTATTTAATAATTTCACACCTAAACTCTCAGTTTCAAAATAAGACAAGCATGGAGAAACTGAGGCCATGATGGCAGAACAAGAAAACTGACCCAGCTGATAGATGATTTACATGGCAAAGAGTACAGAGGAAAAAGGGGCCACATAAATGAAAACAAACAAACAAAAAAACTCATAAAACAAAACTATGCTTTCCAGATTATTTTATATGTTGAGGAATTATCTATACTTTTCACAAGACTTACTCAGAACTGCTAATTTAGGAAATCAGTGAAACAAGTTATAAGCTTCCCTTTTTGGAAACTGAGGGTAAATCATTAGAATGTATTGATTCGTGGCTGATCCAAACGTACCATTCTTTATATCTTAAAATATAACTCTCAGAATCTCAGTCCTGCAAGGTATCAGCTATTACACAGTTACTAACTAATCTGCATATATATTCTATTTCCCTCCAAAAGTTCAAACTTCTACTAATTATTAAGAAATAACAGTATCCCTTTATAAAACTCGATTTCACTTATAGATATTACTTAATTTAGCTAAGGCTTCAGTGTGTCTGTGAACTATGCATCATCAAACAACAAAATAAACATATAGAGAGCCTGTTAATGAATCAATAATCCTTTTATCCCCTACTGTTCTATAAAGAGCACTTTAATTTCAACTATGCATTGGAGCTATTGTTCATTGCTTTTATTTATGAAACAAGATTCTGAATACTAATCTACTGACCACACACTTCCAGTAAATGTCATACAATACAAGGAAGTTCACAGCTTTCAAAATCTGCATCTAAACAGAAATAAACTTATAGAAAAAAGAAAGAATACAGCAATAATGCAGATTCTTAACAAAAATGAAAATGGAATACCTTAATAGGCAGGTTACCAGACGGTTAGGATTAAGTTAACACTGATACCCTGCATTTCCAAGAATGAACTGCCTTAATAAAGTTAACATCTATATGTGAGCTATTAGGTAATGCATGTGACAGCACCTACATTTTTGAGAAAGAAAGTTGGATTTAACTCTAAGGTGCCATCAATTCTCAACTGCTTGCTAAAATTCTAAGGCTGTTTTTTTTTAAAAAAGAAAGACAGCCTAAGGCTCTCCCCTAATGTTTGCTATGATGGAGAGAAGCGCCACCTTCTGATGTCAAAGGTGGCAAAAAGAAAGTACCACTCCAAACCACTTAAGACCAGAATTATCAAATGCCGCAGCATCCAAACAAAAAGGCATGGGTTTCAATCCTAAGGAGCATCATTTTCATATCTCTTTCTCTTTTTGGATATTATCCCTTTATAGGACCTCGGTAGAGTTACAGACCTTCTCTAAGGTAACACAGATAACACTCTGTATTAAAAAAAAAAAAAAAAAATCTAGCCTCAAAAGTGAGGTCCTCTCTCTTGTATAAGCCCTATAATAAAACCAGATACTGGTTCCCTTATCTTTAAAAGTCTGTGAAAACAAAGCACCAAATATCAGAGTACAGATATGTTTCTTATGTTTTACTTGTGCCAGTGGCTGCTTTCTTGATCAAATTATATCATAGCTGCTATCAATTAAAGTTGGAGAGTAATTTATGATTTAGTAATATAATATCATTTACTTTCACAAATAATAAATATAGCTTAAATATTCTGGTGTTAAGAACAGAACTTATATTACTCATTACTTTTGAGAATTTCAATGCCAGAAGAAATAGTGCTACATATGTTGACAATGTTCACTATTTTCCGTACCAAGAACCTTACGTGGAAGGATATGAAATTTTGGTAGGCTCAAATATTTAGTCTCTACCTTTTTTCCTTTCTCTCTCTAGTTTTTTGTACATGTACTAATTTCTACTGGTTGGTTGAAAAAGGCTGCAACAAGCCAAATTGGTAAACAATTGTTCAATGTGTCATTTGTAAAAATGTGCATCTTTCCTATGCAGCTCTTTGAGATGGCATTTTACTCTTGTTACCCATGCTGGAGTGCAATGGCACGATCTCAGCTCACCAGCTCACCGCAACCTCCACCTCCCAGGTTCAAGCGATTCTCCTGCCTCAGCCTCCCGAGTAGCTGGGATTACAGGCATGCACCACCACACCTGGCTAATTTTTTGTATTTTCAGTAGAGACAGGGTTTATCCAAGTTAGTCAGACTGGTCTTGAACTGCCAATCTCAGGTGATCTGCCTGCCTCAGCCTTCTAAAGTGCTGGGATTACAGGCGCTCACTGTGCCCAGCCATGACTATATTTTCAAATGGTAAAAACTTTTAAAGAAACCACAGTAACATCTCAGTTTGATAACAAGTAATACAGAGTAATTGCATTTCTTGGCTAAGTTACCTATAGTTCTCAAATAAAAAATTTGCTAATCCAAACAAATTACTTCAAGTTAGATTTTATTTTAGACCTTTGTGATGCAAACATTTTTCTGAGTTTGTCTCATCAATAATTTATAAGCTTTATATTTTGTTTTAGTCTGATACGATTTTTTTTGTTATCCTCCAAATCCTGTCAAATTTTGACAGGTAAACCTAGTCAAATGCTATATGAACTACAGGTCAATGGAATGCCTTAAGCCCCAAGTGCCTACAAGAATGTGTAGAGTCTGGTTCCAGAATTAAACCCAGTCAATAATCATCTCATAATTGTGAAGTCTCCAGCATAATGACCTTCAAATTGGTAAATACCTAAAAAATCCTCTGTATTCAAGTCTGCTACTCTAGGGAGTTTTCATTACATCCAAATTGCTTGCAGAGACTAGAAGAACCTAGGTTCCAGGCTCATAGTAAGGGCTGGCACAGAACTCAGAAGTAGATTCTTATTCACACCTATCCAAATTAGGTCTAGGGATCATGGTAAAGTCATTTAACATATAAAAACTTTATTGTTTTCATCTGCAATATGTATATCAATAATATCTAGTACACTGATTTCTCAAGATGATTTTAGTAATCTAATAAAGAACTGAGAGTGCTTTGCAACCATTAACATATATAAATGTTAATTACTACATAAGATTCAGGAAAACAGAAAGGACCTGAACTAAACCAAACAGATACTTTCCCGATATTGATTCATAATCCATTCTATGAGAAAACTCTGGGCAAATCTCGGTGACACTTACCTATTAGTAACAAGATTGAAATTTGTAAATTAATCATCCACCACAGAATACAATACCATCATCTGAGTCTATTTTATCTGTATGAACATAATCACATAGGAAAACCCAATTAAAACCTCTACTGTACTTCTATTTTTCCTTTCTTAAAATTCTTACTGTTGAGAAAGCTTCACTAGGGGAAGTGGAGAAAGAATTCAGTATCACCTGAAGTGCTTCCTGTTACAAAGTTATGAATAACTTCAGATGTTAAGCTTTGCTTTATGCTGTATAAATAGCTCCTGATCTTACCTTTGGTCTCTAGAGTCACTGGATCAGAATACTCTCCAGCCACAGCCTTGTTACAAGCTCGAACTCTGAAATTCATATACTTTGAATCAAATTTTAAGCCTGAAAAAATGAGAACATGATTTTCAAACATGAAAAGTAAAGAACTCTATTCCCAAAAGTATGAGTATGAGCCTTCAAACATTAAGTACTGTGTCACTGTATTCAGGAAGAGTATAACTTTATGTTAAAAGAGTGATATGCTTAAAATAAGAGGAATCATAATTTAATTATTATTTTCTTCAGAAGAAAAACATAGTTTATCAACTTTTATTTTTTTAATTTTTATTTTAAATACACATATTTTATTGCACTTTAGGTTCTGGGGTACATGTGAAGAACATGTAGGATTGTTGCATAGGTACATACATGGCAATGTGGTTTACTGCCTCATCCCCATTACCTATATCTGGCATTTCTCCCCATGTTATCCCTCCCCAACTCCCTACCCCCCGCTGTCCCTCCCCTAGTTCCCCACAACAGACCCCAGTGTGTGATGCACCACTCCCTGTGTCCATGTGTTCTCACTGTTCACCACCCGACTATGAGTGAGAAATGCGGTGCTTGATTTTCTGCTCTTGTGTCAGTTTGCTGAGAATGATGGTTTCCAGGTTCATCCATGTCCCTAAAATGGACACGAACTCAACGTTTTTTATGGCTACATAGTATTCCATGGTGTGTCTATGTGCACATTTTCCCTGTCCAGTCTATTATTGATGGGCACTTGGGTTGGTTCCAGGTTTTTGCTATTGTAAACACTGCCATGATGAATATTCGTGTGCATGTGTCCTTATAATAGAACGATTTATAATCCTTTGGATATATACCCAGTAATGGGATTGCTGGGTCAAACAGAATTTCTATTTTTAGGTAATTGAGGAATCACCACACTGTCTTCCACAATGGTTGAACTAATTTACACCCCCACTAACAGTGTAAAAGTGTTCCTATTTCTCCACATCCTCTCCAGCATCTGTTGTCTCCAGACTTTATAATGATCGCCATTCTAACTGGTGTGGATGATGTCTCAGTGTAGTTTTGATTTGCATTTCTCTAATGACCAGTGATGATGAGCATTTTTTCATATGTTTGTTGGCCTCATATATGTCTTCTTTTGAAAAATGTCTGTTCATATTCTTTGCCCACTTTTGAATGGGTTTGTTTGTTTTATATGGTAAATCTCTTTCAGTTCTTTGTAGATTCTGGATATTAGCCCTTTGTCAGATGGGTAGATTGCAAAAATTTTTTCCCATTCTGTTGGTTGCCAGTTCACTCTAATGATTGTTTCTTTTGCTGTGCAGAAGCTCTGGAATTTAATTAGATCTCATTTGTCTATTTTGGCTTTTGTTGCCAATGCTTTTGGTGTTTTAGTCATGAAGTCCTTGTCTATGTCTATGTCCTGAATGGTTTTGCCTAGGTTTTCTTCTAGGGTTTTTATGGTGTTAGGTCTTACGTTTAAGTCTTTAATCCATCTGGAGTTAATTTAAGTGTAAGGTGTCAGGAAGGGGTCAAGTTTCTGCTTTCTGCACGTGGCTAGCCAGTTTTCCCAAAAAAAAAAAAAACAAAAAAAAAAACAAAGGAATGCTTCATGAATTTGCGTGTCATCCTTGCAGAGGGGCCATGCTAATCTTCTCTGTATCATTCCAATTTTAGTACATGTGCTGCCAAAGGGAGCATCAACTTTTATTTTAACCAAGTGATTTAAAAGTACCCTTTCAAGCCTCATTAAAAGTAGTATTTCACTGAAAGAGAGATGGTACAATTTACAATAACATATTCAATTTAAAGTGGACACCCTAATTTTTATATTCATGAAACATTGTTTTTTTATGTGAAAATGAATTTAAAGAGGAAGTAAAGCAGAGATTAGTAACAAGGATTTTGAAGTTAAGTCTAGATTAAAATCTCAGTTTAGAAATTACTAGTTATGGGACCTTCAACAACTTGACTGAGCTTCAGTTTTCTAGCTGTAGAACAGAAGTGATAAAACCAACTTCATAATTGTTGTAAAGATAAATGAGATTAGGCTGATTAAATGAGATGTACTATATGTAATACACTTGAGCCCATCTCCTGACAAATGGTAACTGCTGAATGACAGTGCTCCTAATATCACTGTTCACACATAAAAAACATTGAATAACTCAGGCAATATTTAGCCATTTCAAATATAAAAGTCCACTATAAGCTGGGCACGATGGCTCACGCCTATAATCCTAGCACTTCGGGAGGCTGAGGTGGGCAGATCACGAGGTCAAGAGATCAAGACCATCCTGGCCAACACGGTGAAACCCTGTCTCTACTAAAAATACAAAAATTAGCCGGGTGTGGTAGCACGCGCCTGTGGTCCCAGCTACTCAGGAGGCAAAGGCCGAAGAATCGCTTGAACCCAGGAGGCGGAGGTTGCAGCGAGCCGAGATTGCACCACTGCATTCCAGCCTGGTGAGAAAGACTCCGTCTCAAAAAAAAAAAAAAAATCCACTATATATTGAGACAGCCTCTTTCAAAACGCCAACACGAATTTCTAATATTATACCAAGTCACAGGTCTTTATTAATATGAAGGTAATCTTAAAACAGTAAAAGCAACAGTATTCACGTTATTAGTGAAATGGTTACCGAAAATATCTAAAAAAACAAAAAAACAAAAAAACAAAACCAATAGCTTTTTAAGAGTCAGAAATCCAAGGTAAAAATTAAATGTTATTCTGAAATACTGTTTTCAGAATATCCTTTCATACTTGTTTTACATATATTTTGTTATACTATGTTACAAACGTCCAAAAGTAATAAAAACAAAGGTTTCCAGCGTGGGTAACTTGGTAAAACCCTGTCTCTACCAAAAAATACAAAAACTAGCTAGGCATGGTGGCCCACACTATAATCCCAGCTTCTCAGGAGGCTGAGGTGGGAGAATCTCTTGAACCCAGGAGGTGAGGTTACAGTAAGCCAAGATCCCACCACTGCACTACAGCCTGGGCGGTAACAGTGCAAGACCCCTATCTCAAAAAAAAAAAAAAGGGTTTCTTTGATGTTTCAACAGAAAATCATTTCCATAATAAATATCTAAAAACCCGGTATGGCTAAAGAAACTTAAAAAGTTTATCCTTTAAAGTAACTCAAAATATTTTTCAGAACTACATTTATCTTCTGGGCATGAGATTCCTGAAATGCATTCATGTTACCTGATAGTGTATACTCAGTACCCTTAATATTATCAATTATCTCCCAGCATCGCTCATCCTTTACACGTGGAAGTCCATCAAAATTAGTCTTCCTATGTTCCAGTATAAAATGGTCAATCTTATTATCTTCTTCTGGCATTCTCCAAGCTACTGTTACAGAGTTATCTGCCACCAAACACTCTACTGGATCTATCTCTGGAGCTTTGGGGACTGCAAAGAAAAAAAAAAAGGACTCGTTCATTCCTCATTTATTACAGCAGTAATCAAATATTTCTATCATTCAAATTGCTTTTTCATGCTGCTTTTAAACTGCTCAAAAGTAGATCAGATTAAGCAAAAGGATATCCTGTAAATGTAAAATAACTATTTTCAAAGTACATGCTAAGGATCAAGAATCAAGAATGACTTGATACTTCTGAATATATTGTACTTTTAATATGATATTTCAAATAGCTTAGGAATACAAATTATATCAACACTAACAAACAGAATAAATTGCTTTGAATATAATGATTAAAATAATTCAAGAGTATATTTTCACTCTTGCATGTATTTTTAAAATCTCTACCTAAGAATTGTAATTTCTCAGGACTAAACAAAAATTAATTCCCCAACCCTGCAAAATACTTAAAGATTTTTGAATGTTTCTCTCAAGATTCTACATTTCATTAAAATAAACTGAAGTAAATGAGCCACATTTAACATGTATGTACATTAATTTCTTTTTCATGAAAGACATATTTCATAGCTTTTTAACATTAACACACGTTCCACTGACATAACAACTGTAGAACATGGTCCTCCAGTGATACAGACTTGTCTGAACTGTGTAAAACTATGCAGTCCAGCAGGTATCAGATTTAAACATTTTATTACTAAAAATAAAATTCAAAAGGTTTATTCCTGTTATACAAGGCTAAACATTTAAAATCAGTTAATGTATTCTATCACATTAACTGCAGAAAAATTATACAACCATATCAGTAAATAAAGAAAAATACCAATTATAAAAGAAAAAATAAAACTCTGTGTGGATGACATGACTGTCTATGTAGAATATCCAATGAATAAAATTCCTGGAACTAACAAGTGATCACAGAAGGGCTAAAGGATACAAGGATGAATAGATGGAACAGAAGAGAATTTCAAGGCAGTGAAACTATTCCTCATGGTAATATAATCATAGACATAAGACATTACACATTTATCAGAACCCACAGAACTGCTTAACACAAAGGGTAAATGCCAATATAAAATATAAACTTTAACTAATAAAGTATTGCTGTTGACCAATTGTATCAAATGTACCACATTAATGCAGAATAGCAATAACAGGGGAAATTGTATATGGGGGAGGTAGTGGGTTTATGGTAACTTTCTTTACTATCATGCTCAATTCTCCACAAATACAGCTCTGTTCTAAAAAACAAAGTAAAGTTGGCCCTCTGTAGCCACAGATTCAATCAACCTTGGATCAAAAGATTATTCAGAAAAGGTAAAAATAACAATACAACAATAAAAAAATTAAAACTACAGTGTAACAACTATTGACACAGTGGTTACACAGTATTAGGTATTATGAGTAATCTAGCGATTACTTAAAGTATACGGGAGGATGTGCATAGGTTATATGCAAGTAACCATTTTTTACAAGGGACTGGAGCATCTGTGGATGCTGGTAATTCAACACAGTGCTAGAACCAATCCCACACAAATACTGAGGGATGACTCTTGCTAAGTTTTTTTTAAAACCACAACAATAACAAAAGAATTACATATAAAAGTTAAGATGTAAAGCAATATGAGACCTAACAAATAATAAACTCAGTAAAATAACACCAAGATGAAAAAAATTTGACTTAGAAGTATGATCGATTTTCACTAACTACAGTCTCCCCCAAGTTAAATTCTGCATGTGTAATTGTACAAAAAATACTTAGAATAGGATATAACTTATTAGTAAGACAACTGACAACCAAAGAAGCATTTATTATTTGTCACTGACATCAGTTTCCTTCATCTGTCTTGTAGGATTTTTGTCTTCATAATCCGTAACATTTGTTACTCTCTATTACTGAAACGTAAGAATTATAGACTACTATTCACTGCCAAGAGAAGGCACTCATGAATTTAATATGCTCTGCTATGCCTACATGGAAATGTAAAGGCCTATGGTCTATAGCAATTTGAAAACTTTGCTGAGTCGTAAATCTGCAACTAAAAGTCCCGAGAGATTGATATAAAAAAAGTCACTTAATTGGTGAGTAGGCCTAGTTGGCTCCCTACTATTTACAACTCCATTCAGCTGCTATTCTAGTAAGACTGCACTGGCAGGCAGATTCTTCTTTCTTGTGAATAATGGTCCCCAAAAGAAAGCTAACTGATAAAATGGAAACTGAAGTTAAAAAGAAGAAAAAAAAAAACCTAAGAAAGTGATGACATGTGGGAGGGACAAAGAATATTTAGATAATTTAAGAGTGGTATGTCAAAATTAAGGTTGACTTGGATGTAACATGTGGGAAGTTCACTCTAGATTCTATATAGAAGAAAACAATTCACCAAATAAGGCATACAAATTCAGGGAAAGACGAAAGGTAGTGTACTTATAACATAAAAATATTACTTAGGAAATGCAGAACTCTTTGGAAGGAAAGCAATCCACACATCTACCTACATATTTCCATAAAGCAACAGTGACTAACTAGCAATAGTGCAGAAATTAATTGAAGAATTTACTAAATGCTTTCTTTGCATCTGAATGTAAAAGGATAAGTGGCATCAGCATTGCCAGACTTATTTCTTTTCTTAGCTCCAGAAACTCAGAAAGGAGAAAGGATATAAAGTCAAAATTTCAATGCATACAAAATGGCTAAGAGTAGATAATGACTTCGTAATTATCACTGATCATCATCACTACCACTGTTAACACTCAGATATGTCCATAACTAATATTATTACACATAATATACTATACAATAGATTATAGTGGCATTTATGGAATTAAGAGATAAAGATATTTCTTCATTTTATAAGTTAATTTGATTCAATCTTATAGAAAATGTTTATGCTATAGATTATTAAAAATTAGAGATTTATATGCACTCTTCATGAATTTTTAAAACCTATTATATTTTTCTGCAGGGCACAGTGGCTCATAGCTGTAATACCTGTACTTTGGGAGGCTGAGGCGGGAGGATCACTTGAGCCCAAAAGTTTGAGACCAGCCTGGGCAACAAAGTGAGACCCTATCTCTACAAAAAAAAAAAAAAGAAAGAAAAATTTAGTTGGGTTATGGTGGTGCATGCCTGTGGTCCCAGTTACTCAGAAGGTTGAGGCAGGAGAACTGCTTGAGTCCAGGAGGTTGACTCAGTGGTTGTGCCACTGTACTCCAGCCTGGGTGACACAGCAAGACCCTGTCTCAAAAAGCTTTCTTCTTTTTTTTTTTTTTTAATTATACCTCATTCCTTTAGACTGTCTTAACAGTTTACCGAAAGGGGAAAACCTAACTGTTCATGCAATCTACTTGACTATACAATAAGCATGGTATTGGTCTGTTAAGCTGTCACTGAAAGCCCAAAAGAAGGAAAGTAATGGTAAGAAGACTGCTTTTTAAATTGTTGTTTTTTAAAAATCAAAGTAGTAGTAATAGCTATGTGTATGTTCACTCTGTCAGAATTTAGAAGTGATGGAAAACCTAGATAAAGAAAAATGAAGATGTATACACTGGATGTTAGGGGGGAAAGTACTGCTTACAACAGAAAACATTATGGGGAAAATGTTATTAGTATTAGTGATTCACATGAGAAAACTGAGAAGGGGGTAGAAAAAACAGTTAAAGTCTCAACTGCTATAAATCAACATGTAAATTCTCCAAGTACGAGTAAAACAGTGAATTTGAAATAAATACAAAGTGAAAAATACAATTTCAAAGGCATCCATGAAAGAAGATTTTCTTCACAAGTTAAATAGAAAAGTAAAAAATAATGGTAGTAACAACAATAGCGATCATTTATTGAGTGCTTTCACTTTAATCCTTACCATTACAATATCATAAATTTTATATTATCATTATCTTTATTAGGGGCTCAAAGATGTCAAAGTAACTTGCCCAAGACTACAGAGCTAGACAATTAAAGAAACAGTATTTAAATATAGGTAGTCTGACTTAGAGACAACAGCCTTTACTATTCTTAAAGAAAGGCATTCTAAGCTAAGGCCATATATATTAGCATATAAAAATATATAAAATCTAACAACAGTAGCATGGAGAAAGATACCTGAATAATGATGAAAAGAAAAAAACATGTTGTCAAAGTTAAGCTATTTGGCCAGGTAGCAGAGTGATTTACAAAACTAACACAAAGGGATGAATGATAGAAACTGAACTGACCTGGGAACCTAAAGACAGAATCTCTGAAAAGTTCAGACTTTGCCTTATTGATAATTTAATAACCTGGAAAGTAGAGTCTGTGTTTGTTAAACTAACTTTTTTAGACCTAAGTATGACCAATAACAAGAACACAAATGTAAACATGGAAATGATGGCTGGGTTCAGTGGTTCACTCCTATAATTCTAGCACTTTGAGAGGCTATGGTTAGAGGATGGTTTGAGACCAGGAGTTTGACACCAGCCTGGTCAACACAGCAAGACCTCCATCTTTACAAAAAAAATAAATAAATAAAAATTAGCTGGGTGTGGTGGAATGCACCTGTAGTCCTAACAACTCAGGAGGCTGATGCAGAAAGATCGCTTCAGCCCAGGAGTTAGAGACTACAGTGAACTATGATGATGCCACTGCACTCCAGCCTGGGTGATAGAGAAAGACCTTGTCTCAAAAAATACGGAAGTGTAAATGATGGGAACCTCAGAAATAAGCAACACTGGGCCGGGCGCAGTGGCTCATGCCTGTAATCCCAGCACTTTTGGGAGGCCAAGGCAGGTGGATTATGAGGTCAAGAGATCGAGACCATCCTGGCCAACACAGTGAAACCCTGTCTCTACTAAAAATACAAAAAAATTAGCCGGGCGTGGTGGCCTACGCCTGTGGTCCCAGCTACTCGGGAGGCTGAGGCAAAAGAATCACTTGAACCCAAGAGGCAGAGGTTGCAGTGAGCCGAGATTGCGCCACTACACTCCAGCCTGGTGACAGAGCAAGACTCCGTCTCAAAAAAAAAAAAAGAAATAAGCAACAATGTCATCTTAAAGAATT